TAAAAATGTGTGTGTTCAATTGTATAAAAAATCAGAAAGATAGTATATGTATTTCCTGAGTTATCACATACCAAAGCATGTCCTTCTGTTTCAAGAACATAAAATATGAATATATGACAGAGTGTATTATTCTTGAGTCTCAACATTTTCTTTTCTGCCACTGTTCCATGTTTTTAGTGCTTGTGTTTCTGAGTAAAGCATTATTATTATTTTTTTTAGTATAGGAAACCTTATATTTTTTCCTTCCTATTTCCAGAAAACTTTTATCTCTTCAATTCAGAATTTGTCAGAATAATTCCAAGGTTTTAGATTCTCTTTCAGATTTTAAATTGGATAATTGATAAAAAGAATCAGTCATTGATTGTTTTCTTGTGATTATATTAATTAGCCTGTGGTAAAACTGGTTTCATTATACAGAATTTTGCTTGAAGTCATAGAACCTATTGATGACATTAAGTGAGGACTTACTGTACTGTCCTCCAAAAGCCAGCTTCCTGCTTAGCTCTTCCTGGCCAAGACCCTTTTTTTTTTTTTTTTTTTAAATTACTATCTATATAAACTACTCATATAGATGTATAAGAAAAGATGTTGATCAGCGTAAGAAATAACACAGTATACTACTAATAAACTAATATGCAAAAACATATTCTTATCTCACCAGTGCTATATCAAATGTGATCTTTTTTTGTCTTCTATACTGTCTAATCTCATACGATTATGTACTGACATCTTTGAATTGATTAAAAAGGAAGCTAATTAGATTCAAAGGTTAATTCATCTTTTAGGTACTGTTAATTATTTCTGAAGGATGAAGTATGAATAAATATATCATAATTTATATTCTAAACATTCTGCTTGTGTATACCTAACTTTGTTCCGGCATCTAAAATAGCTTTTATTTAAGAATTGATATCTATGTTTTAAAATGAGGAAATATATATCACTTTTCTCTCAAGATTAAAATAATACATAAATTTACGAATAGATGGATAGTATTCATAAATTCAAGTAAAAAAACACACAAGACATATTCAAAATACCAGGTTTCTTAGAGATCTGAAACACATTATAAAAAAATTAAAGCAAAAGAAAGAAAGAGAGAGAGAAAGAGAAAGAGAAAGAAAGAGAGAGAAAGAGAAAGAAAGAGAAAGAGAAAGAGAAAGAAAGAGAAAGAGAAAGGGAAAGGGAAAGGGAAAGGAAGGGAAGAAAGGATAGTGTTTCCATTGATTAGAGCTAATTCACTAAAGATAACTATCTTAGAATTGATTGAGAGCTGTCAATACTTTGGCTCTCATTGGATTGAATATAGAGCAAATCTATAGAGTTGAATTAAAGGTGCTCATGCCTTTTATAACAGATTAACATTTTTGTCTGTGTATAATTTATTTTTCTGTATATAAAATTCAAATAAAATTCAAGTTCAAAAGGAATAAATGGAGAGCTTTAGCTATTAGTTTAAAATCTCTGTCCTTTTTTTTCCCCTTTGGTTAGCAACTAAAATGAAGGCTGCAAAAACCTACTTTTCATAACAAAGATCTTGCTTGTATATATTGCCCCTTTAATATGTGAGATTTCTACCTCCCAGTACACAACATAATGCACTATACCTTGTTAATTAATATTAGTTATTTTAGGTATAGTTTATCACAGTGAAATGATCGAAAAATAAGTGTATTTCCCCCTTATCTTTATTATAAAACATTGCAGCTCAGTGAACATTATCTTAGCGAAGAATAGTTTTATGTTTGCAATTTTCCGTAATCTTCTTAAAACAAGAAAATTAGTTTGCTAATGTCAGTGTTGAGTCTGCTATGTATTGACCTAATGCTGTGCTCAATACTTAATCTTTTCCTCATTAATGGTTTCAGTAAATATATGGTGATATCCAGCTGAGTTCAAATGTAAGTAGATCTCTCTTATCAATTCTGCGGAGAATCAGTTTAACACTTGGAAACTCTCTTTAGAGAAAAACGTTGACATTTAGTCTCAAACACAAATGAACTTCATAAATCCTTCACTTCTAAATTGAACTGTCATCTGACATGAGTTAAATCAGTCTAAACAATAGACATTAATGTCTCTTATATAGTCAGTGAACTTAATCTGATGGATTTTCCCAAGGATCTACCATAACTTTATATAAATAGTCTTAAAAAGTTTTATTTTGTCTCAGGGGTGTCAGAGACTCCCAGGGTACTCTATGTCTCCTTCTTTTTGGTTTTATAGTCTTTTCATAGACTAATCTAAAAACATTTTAGCACACTGTTTTTCATCTGACTTTATTCTCTTATGACAGGGACCACTAATTAAATTATGTTAATGAGAAGAAGTGGCAAGTGAAAAAGGAAACTGAATTTTTATTTTATTTCCTTTTCTTCAGAGATACCAAGAATTTGATCTTTATTGGATCTGTATCCCATCCATTTATTTAACACATCTTCTGCTTTAGCTTCATACTGTAAAACTTCCTATAAGTTGCAAAGCATATCTAAAACATTAAGTGCCAATATTACTTAGTATGAGCATGTGATGAGATGAGGGGACAGAATGATGATTTTACTAGAAATCCTACAACTTGATTTTTTAAAACACTAAACTCTCGTAGATCAAAATGAGGGTGAAGCTTTAAAAATAAAATATAATAAATGAAAAATAATAAAAATGAATCTCAGTACTATTATTAAAATTCTTATAGTGGATATTATTCATTATATGTTTCAAGATAATCATGAGGGACAAAAAATGATGTATATTTGTACAACAGTTTTCAAAACGTTTGATCTCAGAACATTTTTGAACTTTTAAAAAGTTTAGAGGAACCGAAAGAACTTTTGTTTATGCATATGCACATTATTGTTATTAAGTGCATTAGAAATTAAAACAAATGTTTAAATTATTAATTTATTTTAATAATAAAACAACAAATCCATTACATGATAGCATATCGAATTTTAATATTATTTTTCAAAAAAGTAGAAAATCAGAATTGTGTCTTATTTATCAAATCTCTTTAATGTCTGGCTTAATGAAAGAGAGCTGTATTCTTATATCTGCTTCTACATTCCATCTAGTGTGATATTACCTCTTGTGGAGCTTTTGGAAAACTCTACTGCACAAAGTTGGAAAAGACATATATCATCTTAGTATTATTAGGAAAATAGTTTTATTATTTTAGATTTCTTAAAGGGGTGTCAGAGACTCCCAGGGTACTCTATGTAGGCCATAGTTCGAGTTTGCTAGATTGTTAAGAACTCCAGCCTTAAATTTGGATAGACTAGACCTTCGTTGTCTTTACTCCTTGCTAGTTATTTGTCTTGGGGTAAGTTACTTAACCCTGGTGAACCTCAAATATCCCATTTACAAAACAGGCTTACTTATAATAACCACCGATAAAATTGTTTTGAAGTATAAAAATATAATATTTGTTATATGTAACTATCTAATACTGAAAAAAAAGTCAGTAGTTGCATTCTATTATTATGTAATTCAAATATCTATTAAAATTGATTTTTAAATTAAATTATAATAATTATATTATTTTATTTTCATGTAGTTGTTTTATCTCTCATGACCACTCTTTTTAGGAAAGTTGTTTTGAATAATAATTTATTTATCCTATATAATCATAAAACCTAATGATTCATCAGTTTCTCTTTATAGTCAACAGGTTTCCATTTTATATAAAACAAAGCCCCATCCTGTCAAAAAAAAAAAAAGCAACAAAAACAACTAAAAAATTAAGAATAAGATTAAAGAAAAAGAAGGAGATAGGCATTATGAGTAAGTCAATTGAGTAAGCTTCCTTCAAAATGTTGTTCTTTGTAAGATGCAATCTTAATTGCTTTTCTTACTGTATATTTTCTAAAAATCTAGGGAAAATATAGTTTTATTTTTAAAAATTGTGTCTCGACAAATTAACAAAGTAGTGATGCTGTGCTTATATATGTTTGAAATATTTATTGCTAAAAACATTGTAAAAGCATCTAAGATATAATACAATGACTTAGAAGAAATTCACTTAGTTTATTTTTTAAATAGGAGGAAAATAAAAGCTATTAATTGTAAAGGTTTAACATATAGCAATTATGTTTATTATTACTATAATTAAGCAAAATTTATGAAAGAGCCAAGCTGATTTATGTGCACAAGTTTTATAATGATGTGGAATGTTATTTAGGCAGAGAATGAATTTTCTTACATGTTGATTTCACATATATGACCCTAATTATTATAATTATATGTTTAATGTTTAACTTAAATATATTTCATAATTTAAATACATATTTATTTGATATTCTTATTGATTTATTTGTGATGTATAAATGGCATTTTGCCAGTAGTTATCTTTTGTGGTAAGAACACTTTCCTTTAAAAATTTTTGTGTATAGTACAGCCTGGTTAACTATTCTAAAAATATTTTACGGCAGATATCTAGAAATATTAATCTTGTATAACCAAAACTTTATATCTGTTGAACAGCACATTCCTATTTTCTCCTCCTCCAAGCTCCTGGCAACCACCATTCAGCGCTCTACAAAAATGAGTATTTTATATACCTCATAGAAGCGGAATTATGCAATAGCTGTTTTATTTTAAATTATTCTATGTACAGTTGAAATCACATTTATAGACAAGTGAATTCTCAGCAGTCAGAATGTCTACCCCTCCTGTATGCTCTCTCACA